CTCTCTCTCTCTCTCTCTCTCTCTCTCTCTCTCTCTCTCTCTCTCTCCTCCTTCTGGGACCCCTACAAATGAGAATGTTAGGACAAGTGATGCTGTTACAGAGGTCTCTTAAACTGTCCTCATTTCTTTTTTTTTCTTCTTTTTCCTGTTTAGCTTTGGTGATTTCCACTGTTTATCGTCCAACTTGCCCATCTCTTCCTCTGTATCATCTAATCTACTCTTGATTCCTTATAGTGTATTACTGTTATTATTTTTTAAAATATGTATTTATTTGGCTGCGCTGGGTCTTAGTTGCGACGCGTGGGATCTTCCTTGCAGCATGCGGGATGTTTAGTTGTGGCAAGTGAGCTCTTTTAGTTGTGGCATGCGGACTCTTAGTTGGGGCACGCGGGATCTAGTTCCCTGACCAGGGATTGAACCCCGGGCCCCTTGCATTGGCAGCCTGGAGTCTTATCCACTGGACCACCAGGGAAGTCCCATAGTGTATTATTTATTTCAGTTATTGTACACTTCACCTCTGTTTGGTTCTTTTTTATATTTTCTCTTTGTTAAAAACATCCGACTCCTCACTCTGTTCATCCATTCTTCTCCCGAATTCTTTGAGCATCTTTATGATCATCACCTTGAACTCTTTATCAGATAGATTGCTTATCTCTACTTCACTTAATTCTTCTTCTGGGGTTTTATCTTGTTCCTTCGTTTGAAACATTTTCCTCTGTCACCTGATTTGCTGTTCTTATTTCTATGTATTTGGCAGGTTGGTTACATTTTCCTCCTCCTCCAGATACAGCAAGGGAGACACCCTTACAAAATATTTCCATTACTAATGTAAATGTTTTCTTGCAAAGGGGCAACTCCTACTTGGTTTTCAGAGTTTTCCTGAATTCTCCCGTTTCTTAGAAAATAACCAGTTTAAGATAATATTCCAAAGAGACACATCTTGGGGTGGCAAATTCTGCTCCCCTACATTATAGCAGGCTTTACTTTTTTTTAGAGAAGTTTTAGATTCATAGCAGAATTGAGCCATTTTTGGTACTGATCTAACATCACGGTGGTATTTGTTAAAAGGTGTCTATTTCTGTTATCAATTTCAGTGTATATACAAAATGTATTTTGCAGTTATATTTGCTGTTTTATGATTATTGTTTTTCAAAGTATTACCTTCTTTTCGACTGAATATAATATGCGTCATTTCACTATGAAAAAATTTACTAAGTAATTAACGGAAGGGAAAGCAGCAATGGGTTTTTCTGGTCCACTGAAGTAGACAAAGCCTTTTTCAGCCTTTTTCGTGTCCTGCGAATAGGATAGTGAATGTGTGCCTTGTGATTTGTTGTTCTGTTTTACTGCTTTGCTGACTGAGAACTGTATTTATATAGTTCATGTTTTGGCAGCTTCAAACAGGAAGAGAATTTTTAGGTCTGTTTTGAAAAAAACTGTGACAGGAATGTTACATATGTACATGACAAAGATGTATGTAAATTATTGGAGCTTCAAGGAGAGACAATAGTTTTCTTGGAGAGTATATGCTACTCTATCATTATTTAAAGTGACTTCTGTCAGATGAAATATTAATCAGTCCAGTCAAACTAAGAAAGAAATGGAAAATTTTATTCAAGCTAAACTGAGGATTATAACCTGGGAACAGCCTCTCAGAAAGCTCCAAGAACTGTTCTGCCCATTAGAAGTCAAAGCACAATTACAGAAGTTTTTTGACACAGGGGCCTGTACATTAAATGATGTATTATTGACTTACACAATCCAGATCTGCAAGTACAAAGAGATGGGTTGTGTGACCCCTTACAAGATCAAGATGGAATGTTATCTTTTAAGGAGTTGTCTTATTGGTGCTGGGAGAATGTTGCGCTTTATTGTTGAGGAGGTTTGGTGGATGCATAACGCAGATACACAGTGTACATTAGAGGGGAGAGAGGAGGCCAAAGGACAGAAAAATTTTTTATGTTTAAAATTTTCTTATCTTGCCATAAAATATGAATCTTATTTCACACTTCCATCATAATTGATGCATTAAGTACGACTGAACCAGAAGTACTTCTAAATTCTAATGGAGTATGTATAATATAGTTAACATGCACATACTGGAGAAAAGCACGGAAACCCTACATTAGCAAATTTCTCATTTTAAAATAAAAATGCACCATGCCTCATTTTTCTCCACTATTAAAACTGGGTCGTCTTTCAAGTATTACTTTTTATTCTTGGGAGGAAGGGCAGAGATTGTTTATGTTAGGCTAATGTAAAAAGAATCCAAGACCACAAAGGTTGCACTTTAAATTTCAATAGAATTATGTGCTTCATATCAGCATTATGAAATTTTAAAATTTGGTGTATCTTGCACTTTCAGAAATTTCTCCTCTAACAGTTAATATAATTGAATTGCATATTAATATCATTTAAATTAAGAAAAAAATCTTACAGTGCCTTTATTTTAGTATACCCTGTCATCTAAGGCCTAGATGATACTTACTAGTTAATTATGTGGCTTTGGTATGCACTAGTAGTCTTTTAGGAAAATATTTGCTTTAGTTTTGGGGGGAGGAAGTGTCTGATATATTTTTTAAACTTTATTATGAAAACTTTAAACATTCACAAAGTAGGGAGAATTGTATAATGAGTCCTCATATATTCATCTCCTGTCCTCACTAGTTTAATATAATGACTCTTCTTGTTTTATCTGTGCATTCCCCGCCATTACTTTCCTCCCAACCCCCCAGTGATTTTGAAGGAAATCCCAGACATCATGTAATTTCATTGAGAAATATTTCAATGTGTACCTCTAAAAGCGAATCAAATTATTTGTATTCCCAGTGAGTACTAGCGAGCTTTGTTGTGGAGAGGAAGTTCAAGAGTGCTTGGAAACAGACCTGCCATTGCATTTTATTATAGTTAATTTGTATTCAGTAAGATCCAGAGTTTACATTACTTGGTATTTTTTTATTATTACAATACATCTCAAAGGATTTGAAGTGTTGATTTTGTAAATAACATCTAAGAAAACATTATGAATTACCATCATGAATATGTATGAGGCAATGTGACAGTCCTCATTTCAGAGCTAATCTGCGATTTGCTTTGTCATTTTTCATGGCTCCTCCCCAGCTCCAAAATTAGTTTCTTTATTTAAATGCTGAGAGACAGTCAGCATGTAACACTTATTTTCAGATGAAATTTATAAGGCTCTATTTGTGTCAGAGAAAGAGCAGAGAGAAAAAATATGCATATGGGGCTGAAAAAAAGAGGAAGGGGCAGAACAGTGTAAACATCACAGCCTGGGTACCAGAGAAATAACTTCCCCTTTCCTTCACTCTCACTCACCCAACCTCCTCTCTTGGTCTTGACTTCTTAATTTCTCTCTTTTCTTGGTGTCCCCTTTGAGTTATATCTTTTTCTTCTCTTGGCATTTACCTAACTTTGCCTGTGGCATTTATGATTAGGAAGATTGCTGATTCCTCCCTTGGAGAATGTTTTATTATATAGGGGTTGTGAGATAAAACTTGAAAAAGCAAAATATTTTAGGACGAATTTGTTGTGCTTTGTTTTTATACAGATTTTGAAAAATGTTTATTTAAACTCGTTCACATAGTTGGGTACTTACTATGGCCTAGATTGAACTTTTCTGTGGTCTGTGAATGAATGATACAATGTATGAAACGTTAACTATATATAGACATTCAGGTTTGCTTTATGTGCTCTTTTTGAAAAATTTTGTAATAATTTTTCCTTTTTTTGTGTGTTCTCTTTTGCTGCTCATTTATTGGATGAAACTGATTTTATTCAAATGTGACTCTGCAGTTCACAAGATTCCTTTGCAGCTCACCTTTGGAGGTAAGATTACTCAATGACCTTGAAATGAGAATTGCCACTGGTATCTTTTGTGAGGCATTTGATAATTTAAGACTGATCATTTCGTCATGATGTATTCTTCAATACCAGCAATGAGATGAATGAAGACTTTCCTTTATAAGAATTCCTATAAGTTACAGAGCTATCCCGGTAAGTTACAGAGCTCTGTGCGGGCAGTGACCTTCACAGCAGGTCATTGCCGCCATTTTAATAGGTAGAATGAAGTCAGTCCATTTTAAAGAGCCTTGTTGTATCTCCTTACTCCCTTGCCGCTCTCACATTGGCCTTATCCTCTGTAAACTGCCCTGGTGTTAAAGGAGACCTGGAGAAGTCTGGGCAGAGGCTGTCATCAAGCAGGTTTCAGTTAGTTTGAGAGAACCTTCTAAAATCCATGAATTGATTAGGGAAGAGCAGAGGCCTTCCCTTGTACTGAGCTTCATCGTGACACAGCCATGATTCTAGGTGCCAGATTCGCTTTCTCATCTGATTCTCATAATGGTTCTGCAATTTAGAACTGAAAGTCCAGCGATAAATTGTGAGATAAAGAAAACTCCTAGATAATCAGAGAACCAGTTATCAGTGTGAGCTGTAGTTGATAAGGAGTTGATTACTTGGAGAAGATGGACGAGGCTTTGGGAAAGGAGTCGGAAAGGGGAAGCAGCTGGGTGTGTGGAGGGACATTGGACTTGGTACCAAACCTGGGGTTAAGGTCAGGTCCTCACTTACTAGCCATGTGGCACTGGGCAGTCGCAGCTTCCCTGAGCCTCAGCTTTCTCATATGTAAAATGCAAATAATTTCTACCTCTTGAATGGAGCAGTGGGCAGGGGAGCGGTTTTTAACGTGCTCTTCACATGTTACTGATATTTTGTATTCTTCTCTCAGGCTATGATAAGACTCTGTCCCTGCCTTTCATTTGTCCTTCCTTTTGCCTCTATTTGTTTACTTCACTCTGTGAAGTAAACTCACTTCTCTTCCCCACTCCCAACCTCTTCAAATCATATCCCGCTTCAGGGTGAGCGTAGATGCTGTGTCCTCTGTGATGCCCTCTCTGACCGCTCCACATAGAGGCAGTTGTTCCCTTTTCTGCTTCCATAATGTTGCATTCTGTGCTTATTGAAGCTACTATTGTTATGTGGTATGGCCCAGCCTCCTGGTGGCCTCCTTGAGACCTCGTGGTGGCCAGTTTGAATGATTTCCAGGGGAAATTGAGCAGACCACAGTGGGTAGTACCATCCAGGCTTGGTTACATTTTCTAAATGTCCAGGTCCAAAGGGGAAACAAAGCCTGGAAAGATCCTGGGTTTTGAAATGAGAGATCCTTGGGTGACCCATGAGTAAGTAATTTCATCTTTCAATTAATCTAAAAAGTGGAGTTAATAATAATACTTAACTTACAGGGTTATTAAAACGAAATGAGATAATGTGTGGTAAACACTGAGTACAATGCCTGTCACACAGAATTTTAAATAGTTTGGTGTAAAAACAATAAAAATTAAAACTGTACTATAAGAAACTTAAAGACAGTGTAAACTATATAGTCAACTCTTTAATCGATAAAGCACTTTCTAAGTATAGAATGGGAAGTATCACAAAGGAAAGGATGGAAAAATTAGATCTGATTTTGTAAAAAAAATCCATGATTTGGTTCATGAAGACATACGGAGTTAAGAGGCAATTTGGGAAAGTGTAATAAAAAGATTATTATACTTAATATAATCTCTTAGAAACCGTTTTTAAATGTAGTGTTTTCTTTTGCATAATATTTGGTTGGATTTTATCAGATAGTTGATCAGCTGACATACAAATGGTAATATGTCTTTTAAAGTTTAATCTTATAAGTAATCAAAGGAATGCAATTTAAAATAGCAGTTATATATAGTTTTTTAACTATCAAGATATCTTTTTTATTTTTAAGTGAATGCTTGGGATGATGTGATGAGATGGGATGTTTTTAAACTTCATCCTTTATAGAAATCAGTTTGGTCATATACATTAAAGATCTTATAGAAATGCATACCTTGTGGTTGAGTAATTCTTATCTAGGAATCACTGCCAGAGAAATAAAGATTGGGACAAAACTTGCTTAAATATGTTTGTTACAGCATTATTTATAATGGCAAAAATTTATAAATAATTTAAATGTTCAACTGTAGGAAAAGGTCATATAAATCATGGTGCAGCCGGCCATGTGATAGAACACCCAGTAGCCATTAAAATAGTGATCATGCATGTATGTTCATGCGTATATATTGATGAAAAATAGCAGTATAAAATACTTCTGCTTGTACTAAGAGACAGAAGCAGGATGCAAAATTATACATGCAGATCTCAGTTTAAAAACAATTTAAGTAAAACAACAACAATTTAAGTATACAGAAATTAGTTAGGAAGGAGATACACCAAATGTTAGCGTTAACTACAAAATGCTAAATTATTTTACCTCTTGTTCTTCCACGAAGGAGTCACATGGGGAGAATGAGGTACCTTGGTAGGGTTTTTTTTTTTTTTTTTTTGGCGGTACGTGGGCCTCTCACTGTTGTGGCCTCTCCCGTTGTGGAGCACAGGCTCCGACGCACAGGCCCAGCGGCTGTGGCTCACGGGCCCAGCCGCTCCGCGGCATGCGGGATCCTCCCGGACCGGGGCACGAACCCGTGTCCCCCGCATTGGCAGGCGGACTCTCAACCACTGCGCCACCAGGGAAGCCCTCCTTGGTAGGTTTTTGATGATGGCTCTTATAGTCAGTGTTTGACTGAGATGTACATCAGGGAAATCTCTAATTGATGTGGAAACAGGGTCTAGTCTTGGGGGAAAAAAGGGATTGGCAGGAGCTTAGATGAAGAGTTAATGTTGATAATGCTTAATTAAGGTTGGACTCTCATTTAAGCAAGAGCTCAGAGGAATAACCAGGAATAGGGGTTTTGAGCAGAAGGCAGTAAGGCTGGATTAGTTTACCTGCACAGGGAGTAAATAAGGAAGCTGGAGCTTGATATCTACTTCACTGGGGCAAAGCAGCAGTTTGGATGTTACTAAACAATGGCAAGGATGCATTTAAATAGCCCTCACTAACAGACTTTTCTCAAATGTAAGCTCAATGAGAAAGGACCATGTTTTTCTTGTTTCCTTGTGTTTCCATGTATTGTTAAGTACTATATAGGAGGCACTGAGTAAACATTTGTTGAATGAATGAATAAATAAATAAGTAAACTAGGCACAGCTAAGGCTGAGAGTAGCAAGCTTTTCCCCATAATCTGGCAGGACTGGCTAAGAGCACACAAGGTCTAATATTTATGTCTCAATATGGTTAAGTCTCTCTTCCCAGCTAGACTGTAGCTACTTAAAATCAGGATCTTTGTCTTTTTCATTTTTGGATCCTCTCAGGTATAAATAGGGCTTGGAATGGTACCAACCATATACCTAGAGTTGTACCAAACAAATATTTTAAAAATTACATCTTATTATTCATGTTAAATATTGGGAATCGTGTAGAAGCTTAAATCTTTGGCGAAAAGTAGAAGGGAAAGTATCATCATCAAAGTTTAGTGATAGTTTCTGTTATTTTCTGTCTAATCTGCTTTTTTCCATTTAATGATCTGGAGTTATATTTTTACCTTGGCTAAATTGATCTTTTTTCTTACTGGGCTTATGGACATGGAGGAGGCAAAAGAATCAAAATTAAAGATGACCAGTGTGCTTTTCTTTTCTTGAAGTGTTTGGGAAATACTTTGAGGACATTCTGTTGATATTTTTCTAGCTTGGAATTTCACAGGGGCCACCTGACGGCACAGTTAGTGGCTGCTGCCCCTGAATTTCCAGCAGCACTGAGCTCAGAGTTCTGTTGCTGTGCTGCCTTGCAGAACTTGAGAGCCAAACAAAGCCAGGGCAGGAGAATGCTGAGACTCTCTAAATGTTTAATTTTGCCATTAAGCTTATGCTTCAGCTGGAGAAGGAAAGTTGCAAATATGGGTAATACCCAAATATTGATAGCTTACCTAATTTTGAATAAAAGAAAAATAGTTCAGGTGGAGACAGTAAAATACATGAGGTTTGCAGCTGAAAATGGAGGAGACTTTAAATTTCATTCTGCCTACAAAAACTAAACTACTATGAATGAACCATGTCGCTTTGTTATAAGTCCTAAACAGTTAACTGCCACGTGAATCTAACAGAATTGTCAGGTTATAGTAATTACATCAGTAATTTGATCTGCTGTCATTTGAGTGGAGCCATGTGTGGAGAGTCAGTTCCTCCCTCTGTGGGGCTGACCCTTTTACATTTCTGTAAGCTGAAGACTAACAGAGCTCATTAAGCTTTACGGGAAAAGAGCTTTTGTCACCTCGTCAAGTCCGGCAGCACATTTCCATTCTATTCCTGATTTCGCGTGGCTCTGTAGCTGCTGGTGTGCATTCCCCTGCTAGGTTTACATGGGATCTCTCCCTCACAGACATTTTTATTGACATTTCTAAGCCTGAATTACATTTCGTGTGGCACCACCTACAGATGTCTTCAATTAAATGTAGGTAAATAAAAGGGATTATGTATCAGAGGCTAAAAGATTCTTCAAATTCTCTTCTAAGCCATACTTTGCCAGCCAATCCAGTAGCATGCAGTCTCAGCATCATTTTGGAGGTAGAGAACTACAGAAGAGGCATTTGTAAGAAAAGTTAAACCATGTGGGAATGTGGGTCACTTAGGATTCTCTTTAAGGATGTCCTATTCCTTCATTTCAGATCAATTAAAATCTTCTCTGTTAGCCGTTAGCATAATATTTTTTCGAGCAGTTAGCAGCTGTAGTGTATTGGGCACTATCCTAAACTCTTTGCTTACATTATTTTAATTTTTGTAGAATGTCTATATGGTAGTTATTTCCAGTTTCCTTATGAAGAAAATTGAACCTAGAGAGGTAGTTTAGTTGAGTTCAGTATCACAGCTACTAGTGAATGGCAACAACATGCTTAAAATGTCTTATATTACATGAAGTGATG